CATGGTTCAAGTACCCCAGGACTCTGTTAGCAAATCTCCATAGCTAGCAATATTTTGGCCTTTGGGCTGGCTGTTAAACAGAAGTAGTCTACGTCCATATTGACAGATGTGTTGAAATCAGAATATAAAATATCTGCTTCCCAGACCTAAGAGTCATACTCCGCAAGGCTCCATAAAGATTTATTCAGATTTGCTTAAGTTAGTTTAGTTCAATTTTGCTGAGCTTGGAATCATTCTTTATTCAGCAAGTATAACACTCTTATTTTAAGTTAGTAGTTCAATGTAATTTCATTAAGCTATATAGTCTTTAGGTCACAGTCCCCTCCACAGCCATAAAATATTTCACAATAGATCAGCTATTAGCATTATCAATGGCTTTTCTTGTAAGGAAAGCCAGACTATGACTTAATAGTATCTAAATTAGTATCAAGAACCAGAACCTTCAGCAGCTATCTCTCCATTCTGCATGTAATAACAGTTGAATCTCTGTATGCTTAGTTCCTTTTTTTTGTTTGTACTTACTCATTTTATATTTTATTTTGGTCTTAATTTTCAATTTCATAGTGATGAAATAAATATTATTACTCTTATCTTTATTAATTATTTCTCAGGCACACTATTTCCTTGGCTCAGTTTCCTAAGGTGATTCTCCATTATGAAAACTTTCTGTAGCTTCAGAAACAGCTACTCACCCTTCCTGGGAACTGTAAATGTGACCATGACATTGTAAGGGTACAGTAAGAAAAGCTTCCCACAAGGCATATCTTAAGGGTTGCTGAAAGGGGACAAAATATATTTAAGTTCTACAAACTACGGCCTTTGGAGCAGTTTGAGGCAGATGAAACTGAAAAGAAGGACTCCTTTTAATCACCTAAACAGACTGCTGCCTGCTCAAACGGCCTGTGCCGTCCTCAGAGGCGGGTGTGGCGGGGGGAGTGCCGGGGGAAGGCGTGCCAAAGCAGAAAACTGCAAATTGCTCTTCTCTGCTTACTCACAGTTGGCCACAGCAGCACCAACCAAAAAATAAAAAAAAAAGAATATACGGCCTACACACTGACTCCAAAGAAAAGCCACTTACACTTTCTGGGGGAAAGAAAAATCAGACTGACTGGGATATACATATTTCCACTACAATATTGGTTTCAATGTGGACATTGCATGGAAGTCATGCCAGCCCAGCAGATCTGACATTGTTACCAAAGAACATGTGTAAGAGAAAAATGCACCATCATGTGTATATATACCAGTACGTTCACCTTGTACGCATAGGTACAGCATTCAGCAAGGCAGTGCTTTTGGTGCCTTTAGCACACTTGAATCCCTGGTTAGGCTAGATTTACAAACACAAAGAATATTACCTCTGTTTCAGGAAAAAGTGCTTATCCTTTAGGAAGCCCTCAATAGCTATTCCTTCTTTTGCATTACAAAAACCTGTCCATTGTATGGACTGTGTGCATATCCATATTTAGCTATGGTTTGAAACTAGCATCAGGCCTTAATTTGTTACTCAACCTCAGCAAAACCACCATACCGCAGAGGTTTTACGCACTCCGCCTAGCCATTCTCCATGACATTTACAGTGCATGTCAGAATGAACTAGAGCTTACCTTTCAAGTACTGCAAATGAATTATTAGAGCTATGCTCTTAGCTGCTTGTTTATCTCCTTCCCCAGCTGAGATGACTTCATGGCTATGTCTCTTCTGATCTATTCAAGCACCCAATCAAATAGATTAAACCATGGCTAAACTGGCTTTGAATTGGAAACGGAAAACAGGAAGAGAAAGGAGGCCCACAGCCAGATGCCGGCTTCAGCTGGGAGACACCAGCACGCCCTGTGCGTGCTGCCACAAGCCAAAGCTCACATCTGCTAGCGCAAACGACATTTTTCCATTCTGTTTCATTAGCCACACTTACGCAGGGGTTTCTGATCTCGGCCAGGAAGGACAGAAACTCACATCACCTCTTCCACACTTAGTCCAGCAACCACTGCAGTGCTGGGACTAATTTCCAACCGCTGCCTCTCTCCAGGAGTCAGCAGCGGAGCAACAGAAAGAAGTGTCTACTGGGTAGCTGCCCATCTCCCTGGGGAGTTGCCACATATTAATGATCCAGTGCTGTACTGGAACAGAGCAGGTGAACACTGTGGTCTTGACTGGGAAGCAGTGGACATATGGCTGGCATGTCCATAAACTCACCAGGCCTAAGACAAAGGCAGGAGTCTAAGTCACACATTCTGTGGAGTTAAGCAAAGGTATTTTTCCACTTTGAGACACACTTCACTTTCTTTTTCTCTATTTTTTTTGTCTTTGTGGAGTTTTTTGTTTTGTTTTGTTTTACTTTGGTCAATGATGTTTACAAAAATACAAAACCAAGCAAAAAAAACATTCAGTATAATTCCTCTGACACATCACTGAGTCCTAGTACTTGCCTCTTCATAATCCCATCTTTTTTTTCCTCCTTTTCTGTGGTTACAATATATTCCACTTCCACTTCTTTCATTCAGAATCTCTTTCATTTTGTTAGGGTTCTGTCATCCACAGCTATTCCTCTCTTTCTCTTTAGTTCAGACAAACCTGGCAAATTTGCAACTATATAAAAATAATCCACATCAGAGCTAGTAAATTATTTATTGTTCCCTGTTTAGGACCACACTATCTTTGTGCCAAGAGCTCTGTAATAATTCAAGCCCACTCGAGTACTCAGGAAAGACTCAGGTATCCTATCCCACCTTTCTCTGGAGAAGAAAAAAAAAAAAAAAACCCACAAACACAATGTACAAGCAATAGCCAATGTTTATTGACACTCCAGTTACGCACATATTACCCATTCTGATGCTCCTTAGTTTTCCTCCTTAATTTGTTTTGAAAGAATATAGAACCCTATAAGGAGAAAATGTTGCGTGCTGAACTGTAATTCTTACTGATGAGATGCCAAATAAAACAGCTTTGCAAGAGAGCTAGATTTGGTTGAGGCATTTCTGTCACTCCTTACCACCATGACTTACTGGCATGTATGAGAGAGACTGCTGCCGTTCAAGACCGCTGAATTAACAGAAGACATGTCACAAAAAAGAAATCTGGTTAAGGACCAGTTTGAAGTAAGAATATGATTCTGACAAAGGCCAGTCAGCGCAGAACTTCGAGTTATGCGGGGTGTACTGAACTGCTCAGTAAAAGAATGTATCACGTAGGCATCCCTTTGAAGATCCTGGAAAAGAAATGCAGGGGAAAATCCCAGCCTTTTCTGAAGTAAACACCAAAATTCCCATTTGCTTTGTTAAACCAGGAATTCATCCCTTGATTGAAACAGAAATCAGTTTTGAAGCTGGGGCAGCAGATGGTTGAGCCAGGATTTGGGACACAGATTTCAGGAGTATAGACAGGATTCAGAAAACATCAGCAATTAGGAATGGAACTAGTAATTGAGCTGGCAGATACAAAACTCCTGAGATATATCAGGTCATTTTAAAATGGAACATCATAACTACCGTCTTTTTACATATTTTTTTTTTTTCGTGCCTCAGCAGAATAAAAATTTCATACAATGACATTTACTATGACACCACAGAAAGAACTAATGGCCTGTTAAGAGAACTATTATGAAAATAATGAAGTTCAGAAGGTATTTCCAAGCACTTCAGATGCCTAGAATAAAAACATTTCAGTTTGACTTTATCTGAAACTCATTTCTGTATGCCCAACACTATTGCCACAGCATAATACACAATATATAAAATTAGTATAGGATAAGCTCATAAATCAGACCATTACATAAATTTTGTTAATATTGTAAATATTAAAGCACTAGTAATGTGGAACGATTTGCTATAAAATGGCATTTTGGCAAATAAAAATGGATTAGAAAAATACCTATCAAAAACCACTGGAAAACAACCAAAAAAACTTCATACCACTTGAGAAATGAACCACTGTATGGCTTTCCATGTTAAACTTAGAATTAGGAAATGCTTTCACTCAAATAAGGAAGAAATCTGAGGTATGTCCATTTCTTGCTGTGAGAAACTGTTTCACATAGACACAGATAACTGTTTGACTATTTACAGTAACAGCACTGCCTTCAGCACCATTCATATATGATTAACATAAGCATTGAGCAGAATTAGAAAATCTAATGAGACCAGGTCAAGGTCTGTGAAATAATATACAGTTTACAGGAAGAAAAAAAAAAAAAACAAAACACAACAAAACAACAAACAACAAAGCCACAAACAAAAAAAACAAACAACAAAACCACAAACAAAAAAGACCCACAAACAATCTGGATAATAGAAAATAAATTGGTTTATGGCATTTCAATGAGCAAACTATGTATTTTTTTGTTGTTGTTCTGGTTTGGTTAAATCAGTGGAAGTTGCTTGAGTATCTGGAAAAATTAGGCAATTTAATTAGCTTCCTAAAATTGCTCAAGCTCAAGTCCTCAATTTCTGTTTGAATCTCGGTCATTGTAGTTTGGAGCTGCAACCGTTTGAATGGGGACAGAGGGAGAAATTTAGCAGAATCTCCTATCGATAACCTAATGACCACACTGATCTCACTATATTTTTCCCAAATTCATTGGATTAAAAAAATAAAATAAATTTAAGCTTAATACTGAACCAAAAAGATAAAGGACATTTTATACAATGGGAGAGCAAGCTTTTGAACACAGCAGTATTTCCAAACAATAAGTGGAAAAACAAGTGTGATCACACAGAGGAACCTTCCTATGTCATAATGAATTTTTTTGGGTTTTATAAGGAAAGAAGAGTTTCAGAGGGTATGGAATTCTTAAATTTTCAGGTTTTCTGTCCCCTTTCTTTCCAGTAGATGCTCCTGTTATAATGGGGACCGTGCATGTTAAAAATCACTAAAGATAACACTCATCTTTCAGTAGAGAACAAATATATTTGACGGAGTGTAAATTCTTTAGAGTGTGCACTAGATGTTGGCAGTAAAGAACATTCTACTTCTATTGAATATTTCTTCTTTGTTATAAAAAGGAAAGTTTACGTGTATTGAAGTCCGATTTCACCTTGAGAGGCAGATGGGTTACTATCTCATCCAGATGTACATACCGAGCCTCTTGATCGTCATTCTCTCCTGGGTGTCGTTTTGGATCAACATGGATGCAGCTCCCGCTAGAGTGGCTTTAGGCATAACAACTGTACTGACCATGACAACACAAAGCTCGGGTTCACGAGCATCTCTTCCAAAGGTAGGCAGAACTTCGTTTGTACCACATTAGTACAAAGTCATAATGCTACATGGCAAATAAACACCTTCGGTCAACCTTACAATATATGTTTTAATTATTAGCATTTAAGCATCTTCTAAAGGAGATAAATAACTTTGAAATATTCAGGGGTTTTTTGAGTCACCAATCAAGTATATTCTATTTCTCCCATCTCAACTATTTAGCCAACCACATATCTACTAAATTCCACAAACCGCAGAAAGTGATGAAAGCAATGTTATTCCATACTACATGAATACTGCTTAGCAATTGACCAGCTCATCCTTTTCTAGATCCCAGTATCTGATGACATGCTAGCAGATAGGACTGAATTTCTAAAGATCATAGATTCCAACCTGTTCTCAATAATATTTCTTTCTCAAAACCTGCCTACATTATGAATTAACTCACTAGTTACAAACACATTTACATTAAAATGTAGAAAAATGTGAAGCTAAATAGCTCCAAAGAATTGTATAAAGAATGGTTCACTATAAAATGTATATAGCTTAAAGTATATTTCTATGAATAACTAAGTTTTCTGACTTGTCATTGCTTTAAAGATTTTCTTTTTCATGTTAAGGGTTATTCCTTGACCATCTTCATGTGACTTTGCAGTTAATAGAAATAAAATGTATACAATAAAAGTACACAAAATCTACTTCTGTACTAGTGTTAACATGGTATTTGTAGGTTAACTAATTACATTTTTTCCCCCAAGTAAAACTGATAGCCCTAAGACAGGCGAGCGTGCTTTGCGCTTCAAATATATGGATCCGAATACATCCAAATGTAGCATCAACAGATAAGAAAATGGAATGCTATAAAAACTCAGAAAAGTAAGAATGCAAGAGGTTACCAAAGAGAGCTGCAGATGTTCTTCGTCACACTTCCGAGGCCTGTGTTGGCTTACATGAAAAACCTCTTGTAAATCTGCAGAGAGGAAACAGGCCCTGCTCTCCTAGTTCCAATTATGTCCTGCAGCTGAGCTTGGCCATAAAGGATTGCCATGAGTTCATCTACCCTGTAATTGATTTTCAGTACTTCCACTGCATCAAAGTTACAGGACTAATTGGAATCTGTATGTTTGATTTACCATTAGCATAGAATGAACATATCAGAGTTCTCCATCTTCCCTTCTTCTACATAATTTCTATTCCAGGAACTTTAAATCAGATCCATTATAGTACAATAATTCCCACCGGTCCCACTATAAGCTATTCTCTGGTTCCTTTGTATCATTCACAGATCTCAGTGGGACAAACAGAGGAAGAGCATGTGCTTCTTGTGGATTATTTGGTTTGTCATAAAAAACACAGTGCACTATAAGGAACCGGTAATGACGTAAACAGTAAATACATTTTGCGAAAGACTACTTTTTAAAAATAATATTTAATGCTTACAGATTGAATTGTTGTCCCTCTTACTATCTAGCTTTCACATTAAGTTTTGTTAGATAAAAGTAGCATTGGGATGTGGAGATATTAATGCACTTCCTCCTGACGTGAAATACCAAACTTCACATCTGTGGTTTTCCCATATGCAGTCTCCTCCTGCTCTATTCCCTCCATAGGTGTCATATGTCAAAGCGATTGACATCTGGATGGCTGTGTGTCTGCTCTTTGTATTTTCTGCGCTTTTGGAGTATGCAGCTGTAAACTTTGTGTCAAGGCAGCATAAAGAACTTCTGCGATTCCGCCGCAAGAGGAAGAAGAACAAGGTAAAAGTAGCAATATTCACAACTTTGAAAGAGAGCCTGAGATTAATTTATGCCAGGATATAGGGTTAATTTGGTAAACATACTGCAGCCTAAAGTGGCAATATAAATAAAATGGCAGCACAGAACCAAGTTCACTATAGGCAGAGGGTCATTACAAGGACTATGCACTGCATAAATCCAACTCGAATTCTCGAAATAGGGATTAAGAGGGATTTAAATGAGGCATGGGCCATGTGGGAGCTATCTGCACAAGCACGAATTTCACTCTGTTAGAGTTAGATTATACTTCAGTGGATGAACGTTACTGTTGCTTGCAGCAGTTTGTACTGCATTCAGATTCAACAAATAATGTTTCCTAATTTCATTCTAGTATTCAGTTCAAAGCCTTAACAGCTGTGTTTCATGTAAATATTTTTAATACAAACAATACTTATTCAATTAACATTATTGGTGGAAGAACAAACATTTTCATTTAAAGGGCTGAAAAGGTGGGGTTTTTTTCCTTCTGTCATGTTAATTTAGTGTAAATTGTTCATACAACTAGTAAGAAACTTTAATACAGCTATGACTATTAATATTTATTTTATAGCTGAAGCTATCTAGACTACCAACAAATTAACTCACTACGAATGTGCAAAGTCAACCAGCTAAGGCTACAGGTTTGAATTCTGAAGTCCGCAGTTAAATCAAGCAATAAGCAAAATTTCTTAAAAAAATGTAACTCCTACTTCTGATTTTTCAAAGAGTAAATACTTGTCCAACCTACTTATTAAATAAGTACCCACTGATGTCAGGCAGAGCCTTTCCACTAGCTTTGAGTCACGATCTAGAATATTACTGCGGAGGAAAGTCTGACTGTAGGAATACAGCTCAGTTCAGTCGTCTTCCATTCCTGAAGACTTACCTCAATTTACTGCTTACATCACAAGAAGATGACATGTTACAGGTTATTGCCCTTTTATTTAGAAGACACTGAAACTCTGTAATGCTGTAAAGCCTACCTACACAGTCTCTGCTAGCAAGACTTCATGTTCAAAGGCAGGCTGGACAGTCAAATGCAAATAACATTTTCATACATTTGCCTGTTCCGGTGTGCTGAGTCCTAGCCTTGTTCAGGCACAGAAGCTCACGTACTGTAGCTCAGAGGATGGTTCAGACTGCACATACCTGCTTTCAGCATTTGTCCCTGTGAAAAATGTGCTTTTTTTCTTTTTGCTCACAGTAGCAGGAAAAAAAAAAAAAAAAATGCTTTCGGAGACACACAGGAGGAAAGCAGCATTTTTGTAAGGGGGTGTTTATTTTTGAATTACGGCAGCTCTCTGAAAGCTGCTTAAAGGTTTGGAATGGGGGGAATGGGACAGGCAGAGACGGATTACCAGATGGGGGCAGGTGAGCTACAACAAATGCATCATGAATCAAACACAAACAGCTGTGGCAATCGATATATTTTGTGACTATACTTTTGGTCCATTCTTTTTTTCACCATGTATTATAATGTCTTCTGGATGTCAGGCAAATTTACCATATTCAACTTTAGTGATATTTTTTCACTGCCTTAAATACACGTCAACTCTTTTAACAACAGGGTTAGAAACTGGCAGGTAATACTACCTTCCTTCCTCAGAATCAAACCAAATCTCTTTCCAGCCCCCTCTTAGCAAGACTTCAATCTCACCAAAGACACTTCTTCAGCAATCACAACCAATCAAACTGCAGCTTAGAGGTATGTGAGGAAGGATCCACAATACACAAAGCACTTCCAAGAGAAGACCACTTAACAAAAAAAAAAAAGTACGCACAAGAATAGTCTCATTGACTGAAGAGTTTTGCTGGATCAGTGCTCAACACCGTGGTATTTTTGAATTCATGCTTAAAATTCCTTATTCTAATTTTACACTTGATTAGACAGTCTTCTAGCTTCAGATAGGTTGCCTGCTAGTTTCTCATAAAATGAGAGGATTAGACTTAGAGACTGCAGGGTCTATAGTAAAGTATCAAGTACTCCCCTTCAATTCTGAAGGACAAAGACATGCATTTCAATGCTTTTCTTCATAACATAACCAGGTAGGGAATTAACTGTATTTGGGGGTATATGGCTTTCTCTTCCTCCCTGTGTCTGTATGTTTCATCATAAGACAGGTTTCTCAGCCTAAATTTACCAGAAAATGCTTTGTTCCCATGCAAGGTTATGATTTTGAGACATAGACATTTTTCTGAAAAGATTAATTTAACTGAATGTTTCTTGACGGACTCCAATTCTATGCAGAGCTAGAGCTCCTGGCCAGAGATAACCATTGAGAATACGCCTTCTCAGGCTCTAGAGACAAGCTCACCTAATTACTTCTCTTTTTCTCAATGTTTTATTAAACCATTCCTTGCCCAAAAAGTGTACTAGAACTTGAAATGTTACAGCACGGAGACTTTATCTCTTCAAAAAAATTGGATTGCATCCTAAACCCTCTGGTATACATACAAATAATAAATGATATCTTATGGATTAAAGCAAGCAGTTAATAACTAGCTTCCCGTACTACAAAGGTTATTATTTATTCACCACAATTTGCAACATGAAACACGGGCCCTAGGATCATAAGTCAAATTGACTTGTGTTTCCTTCCTCTTTCGTCTTTTTCAAAGTCAGCTACTATAGCTCATGATTATAAAGTTCTGTATGTGTTTGTTGTCCCTTTGGACTAGGTTGAACAGCCACTGGCTCTCAGGAATTAGATTGTATTGACTTTTAAAACTACCACGTATAAAGAAACATTCATTTGACCACAGACACAAAAGACGTGAGAAGCAGTTAGGTTAGAAGGCTGAGTTTAAAAGAAACTTCAGGGGCTTCCTTGAACATTAAATCCTCTTGCTTTTCAAAGCAAAAACTGCTATTCAATTCAGTATTTATGTCCAAACAGATGAGAGAAATAGAGCAGTTAGGATGAAAAAGTCTAATAAGTTATCCTATGTGTTACCATCTTGGGACATTTTACTAGGATTAGGTTTTTCTACCAGGTGAGTTCCAACCGGTGAATATAGAATTTTTTGGCATTTGCATTTTATCTGCAAGGGTACAGCAAAATTCCTAGTGATTTGACTGTGTTGCAAAAGTCCAAAACCAGATGATTTTGGAAATGTTTTATTTCGAGTATATGTTGACAGAAGAGAAGATGTACGAATAATACCTAATTGCAATAGGGCAGCTGAAGAATTTCCAAGGTCTATTTTCTTTGGCATTAAAAAAAGATACGCTTGTTGCAAGAAATAATTACTTTTACCAAGTAACCCTAGCAATGGTCAGAGAATTGCATTTCAGTGCTGGAATGCCCTTGGAAGGTCAATGAAATAATTTTCCTAAGTCAGGATCACTTATACCTAATTCATCCCAGTCATAAAAATTCCACAAGCTCCCATGCAATCTATTCCAATGGTTTAGAAAGTTTTTTACTAATGCCTTTTTGGGCCTTTCATGGCTTGTTTAGAAGGGGCACAGACAACAGACTACATTCCTTTACGTAGCCATTTGCACATTACCATTCAGTCTTCTTTTCTTTACATATTCTCAATTGCTACAGTCTTTCTTTGTTTTGAGTTTTTTTCCCCTCATTCTCCTTCCCTGGAAATTCTCCTAGTAAGTCCACATAATTCCTAAAAAGTGTTTGCAACATGAAGTCTAGCCACTAACAGTTGAGAACAGCCAAAGGAGCACACGATGCAAATTATACACTTGTTTATCCAAACCAGTTTGCCATTTGCCTTTTTAACAACAGGATGGCATTGACCCCTACCAAGGTTGTGACCTTCCATAACTCCCAGGTCTTGTTCCAGAACTACTGCAGAGCCACTCACTTTCCAACTTATGTTTGTGAAGTAGAGCAAACTAAATAAGAGCTGCTGAGTTTTATGGAAAATTATGCAGTTATACAAAATGTAATTATGTACAGAGCTGTATGAAGACATTTTAGCATCCAAAGCTCACCTATCCTTGCCATTTTCCTTACGCTTTTTCCACCTAGAGTCACTGTCTTTTTTTTACACCATCTAGTATATTTGCAACCCCCCTTCCTAGACAACAGTAACAGCAGCATCAAAGGCGATTCTTAGGTAGAACTACACCCTCCGGCTCCTGTTTTTATGGCTGTAAGTACGGACCTCACTCAATGATTCTGAATAATGGAAAGGCAAATTTCTTTTCAGAGGCCCAATCCAATTTGCACAGAATTAACAAAAATTTTGAAGTATCTGGGATTGTGTTATATAATACACATAATAAATAAAAACATTAAATATACATAATAAATAAAATACATTTCTAAAAACTGTTATTGCAACATAATATGCAACCTACTCATTGCTGTTTTCCAGTAGGCATAGGTGACTTTTCATAGGTGACTTTCTAACTTCTTTATGATTACACAAGTGGCATAATGAATCCTGAGAACAGGGAAGTTTTGGTTCCCAATTTGTGACTTCATTTGGTAGTCAGTATATGATCCATAGCGCTTTGTCTCAGTCAGAGAAAGAAATCTGACCAATGAACACAACTATTTCACAAATACGATAGTACTAATGTGATGGAAACATTCCTTCAGAATGAATGAATATTAATTATTCATTTATATTTACACTTTTGGTCTTGAAAGAGAAAAGGAAAAAATGGCAGAATTAGAAGCCATACAGGGATACCGAAACATACCTATGATCAGTGCTTTTTCCTAGTGGTGTTTACACTGTACAGGGAAAAACATTAACTGTGTACATATACTGAATAACACTTTGATTTTAGATTAGCTTTCAATATATTTAGTTTTCAGGAATAGTCAATCTTTTAATTCTATTTTCAAAAATCTAAAGATCACTGTATCTTTAGTAAGCAAAATAGACATGCAGACTAGATTGTCTTTAATGGTAATCACACATGGAATCATAGAATCATTTGGGTTGGAAGGGACCTTTAGAGGTCATCTAGTCCAACCCCCCTGCAGTGCGCAGGGACATCTCCA